TCCAAGTCCTCGAAGTGACTCGGTTCTCGGTGGATGGGCGAGTCGCTGGGACAACTGAGGTTGGGCCTGACGCTCTTGCTAGTCGAGAGGTTGTGGTCGGCGAATTGGATGTAACGCCTTGACAACGAGAGGAAGGGGAATTGGGGATTTGGGAAGACAACATTGTAGTAGAGAAGGAGGAGAGAAAGAAGGGTTAACCTTAAAGAAGCGAACGGAGATGGCCAGAGAACTAGATGGAACTGACTCGGGGTGGAAATGTTGGCAAGAGGAAGATGCTGGGTCGCTAGAAAGAGCGAATAAGGAGAGTTCGTCGGGATGCTTAGAGCAAGAAGGAGGTGAAAGGGAAAAAAGAGGAAGGATAACTAGAGAAGGTCGGATGAGCTATTTATAAGGAAGGTCGGTTGCCTAAATCACGAAACGTGTCACCTATCGATCGGCTGATAGACAAACATAACATCTGACAAATAGGTTATGAGGAGACGCCTTATTGAGAACATAACTGGTGGAAAACGAGGAGACACAATTATTACCCCTCAATAACCGTACCATTCGGAAAAAAAACGGAACCAGTCAGGATGATTGGAAGAGTAGCAAATTACGGCCCTACACGTCAACCCGACTGACTGCGATCTTGCGCTCAGCTACATTGCCTCAGATTCTCGGAACTACAATTGGCAAATTCTACTTTCTTGAGATGCCGCCTGGTTGGATATCAAAAAAATGTATATAGTTTTCGAATTATATATTTTAGAATATATATTTTTGTGTATGTCTGTGTGTGTCTATATATATATATATATATATATATATATATATATATATATATATATATATATATATATATATTATTTTTTTTTTTTTGAAATACATGACAGTGAAGTATATATTTTGCTTCTGTTCTCAAGATTGGGTAGTAGCTATGCTATTTACTTTGTTTAATTCTTGAGTTTGATGATTTGTTTAGTTACTTGAGATTAATTGTTTAAGGCAGTGCATTCCAAGTTTCACAGTAAAATAGCATGTTCATCAATTTCATGATTTATGTAGAGTTGAGGCAAAGTAAATCCTAAGTCATATTTCAAAACCTTATATCTATTTTGGAAAATCTATATCTTTTTGCATTGAGAAATTTGCATGATATTTAGTTTTCCATTATAAGAAAGAGAAATTATATAAGATGTATTTGTGCATTGAGAACCTTGCATGACATCTAGATTACTAGCTTGAGTAAAGAAGTTGCATGTGATATATATGCTATTTATGTGGTGAGGAAAAACCCTTGTTTTGGAGGTCCCCGTTAGGACTATGTCCTTTCGTAACAAAAGAGAAGAAAGAAGTTTGAGAAAAGAAAGAAACGATCACAGAGGACCGACAGTTGTTTAAGAAGTAACTTGGTCGATATTCCCGAGTTACTAGGTTGGATACTACCTGCTGGGCTTGGAATCTCGGTTAGGTGGTGTGCACACTGACAAGTACGATACCTTATTCCACCGAGTTTATAAGAACCACGAGTACCGGTTCTGTGAGCAAGATGAGTATTAGGCCGGCTAGATGCCGAGCCTGGATAGGTCCGATCCATTCACGATTCGTGAAGTTCCTACCTCGCCCAGGAGTTCAGAAAGAAAGCAAGAAAGAAGACAGAAGAGAAAAGTGAGTCAAGAGACTCAACAGAGATCCTCCACAGAAAAGTGTTCCTTTTTTATATAAAGAGCGAGAGTATATCTATATATTTATAGCATCATATCCTTACTTGTATCATGACATATCATATGTTTCATTTAGAGTATTTGAGAAGTACAGTCTTATCGTTGTTTAAGTGTTAGCATGAAAGCATGATTTTACTTGTTAAGCTTCAGTTGTTTCTTTATCTACCAGCATGATTGTGAGTAGTGCATAGTAGACGATAGTTGGTTTATATCTGTTTACAGCATGTGAATGTGTTCAAGTATGAGTTATGAGTTAAAGGATGTTTATATGTTTTAGGTTGCGAGCATATAGAAGTATTTATGTATATCTATTGAGATTCGTTGACTAAGTGTCTTGATTGCTTATATTCATACTTGAGAATGTGTGTGAATGCAAAATGTTTTCCAACCTATATCTATAGTACTTTACAGGGTTGAGTGGCTTCATACTTAGCATTAATTGCTAACAGGTTTATTTTCCTACTTGTTTTATAACCCCTTTCAAGTGGACCCAGTTCTTGAGAGCGCACGATGATAGTTTAGTACGTAGTTTTAGTTGTAGTAGTTGCTAGGCCAGTACCCTTTTGTTTAGTAGTACTTTTAACTGGTTGTAGTGAACTACCTTTTTTATGGTGCATAGACACCGGGGTTGTTTCCCCTGTATTACTGTTTTGATGAGCTTTGACTCTAGTTCTCGTAGATGTTTTGTAGCCTGTGCAGTTTCCGTGAGTGGTGACTGTGGCTGTGACATTCACTTTTAGTTTATCTTTTTGGATTGTTATTTTAGTTACTTAAGTTATCCTTGACTTATTTTAATTAAGTTTGATTATATCGGATTTTAGATTTTAGAAAAAGGGGTTGTGTTACACCAATGGTGTATTTTTGAACACTGTAGGGTGTTTTTGTGTGTATTTTTGTGGTGTATTTTCCTAACGTTGATGGTGTATATTTGTTGAACTATTGGTGATGTCGCACCGTAAGACACCGTCGCACTTGAACCTTCCCCCCCCCCCCCCCCTCTCTCTCTCTCTCTCTATATATATATATATATATATATATATATATATATATTACTTTTTATAAAATCGACTTATTTTCAACAAACCCACCCAAAAGGTAGTAATTCATTTGCCGTCTTGTCGAATTGTCTGCCAAGCAGAAAGAAAAAAATTTTGAGAAGACGGATCCGTTTACTAACTTGAAAACTTCTCAAATTTTTGAAAATTAGAAAAAAAAAATAAAAAACATGTTTACTAGCATCGTTTTCCCTTTTGAAAATAGGAAACAATTCTGGAGAAATTAATAGGGTATTTGGTTCAGATATATTTTTAGTTAAGTTATATACAGATATAAATTTGGTTCGGATATCAAATATAAAAATCTTACATATATTTGGACTTAAAAGTAAAAATTATAGGCACAAGTGTCAAATAGACCCATCTACTACTGCGAAGTGCTCAGTTTCCACCACGAACTAAATTAAGTGTCAAATAGGTCCATCTACGAGTTAAATTTGTTCAATTGACTTTTTTTACAGGTTAATAACAAGTTACGTATTTAATTATTAAAATAAATAAATAAAATAAATAAATAAAAAATAATAATAATAAAAAAGAATACAGTCACCAGTTGTCCTCGCCGGACAGCCGGTGGCTGCCATTTCAAAGACAGTCATGGCTGTCCCGTGAGCCGCCGCCCCCATTCCAGGCCGTTTGAGGTCCAGATCTGGACCTCATATTAGACAGCCGTAGTTGTCCGACTGTCCTCGCCGGACAGCCACGGCTGTCTTTGAAATGGCAGCCACCGGCTGTCCGGCGAGGACAGCCAGTGGCTGTATTTTTTTTATTTTTTTTAATAATTTTTAAATTATTTTGAAATTATTTTTTTAATAATTGAATTGGTAACCTGCAAAAAAAATTCAATTACCTGCAAAAAAAAGTTAATTGAACAAATTTAGTAGGTAAGTATGGTTAGTTAGCCTTTAATTTAGTTCATAGTGGGAATTGAGCACTTGACAATAGTACATGGGCCTATTTGACACTTCTCCCAAAATTATATTAATTGTATAGAGTTAATACCTCCAACGGTCCTCCGAGTATTAGCGATTTACCAGTTGTAGTCATCCGAGTTTTAAATGACCTCCAATGGTCCTTTATGTTTTAAAAAATAACCACCCGTGGTCCTAATTCTTAAAAAAAAACCCGAGTTTAAAATGACCACGAGACGTCCTAAAAGGACCACGAGTGGTTATTTTTTAAAACATGGAGGACCATTGGAGGTCATTTAAAACTCGGATGACCACAACTGGTAAATCGCTAATACTCGAAGGACCATGGGAGGCGAATTATGCTGTGCATCCGTATGCACCATCCATGGTGCATACGTATGCAAAAACGACGTCGTTTTATTAAAAACGCGCGTCTCACTTAAAAAAAAAAATCAGTTTCAATTCCCAGCAACAACATTATATTCTGCATAATTTGAACTAAAATTTCAGAATCGATGAACTAAAATTTCAAAATCTATGAACTAAAATTCCGGAATGAATGAACTAAAAATCCATAATGAATGAACTAAATATCCATAATGAATGAATTAAATATCCAGCATGAATGAAAAAAAATCAATTTCGATTCACGTCTAAATATCCATAATCAATGAACTAAAATTCCAGAATCTATGAACTAAAATTCCAAAATCTATGAACAACATAATGCTGTTGAGGGGAATCGAAACTGAATTTTTTTTTAAGTGGGATGCGCGTTTTTAATAAAACGACGTCGTTTTTGCATCCGTAATTCCGTATGCACCATGCATGGTGCTTACGGATGCACAGCATAGATATCCACCATAAGAGGTATTAACTCTAATTGTATATAAACCAAGTATATTTAAAATATAAGATCTAAAAATCACTCATGTTAATTTTATATCCTTACTCTTAACAAAATAAATTTTAAAAAATAAATGCTACTAGTAGTAAACAAGTTTTAGAAACAGAAAACAAAGAATGAAACTTGAAAAAATTAAAAAACATAAAGGAGACCTGGAAATTCCCAATGTGGTGTGGGAGGAATGATGCTGGCATCCGAACTGGGATTACCGTAGTAATCCAGTACTCCGGTCCCCCGCCATCCGGCGGCTTTAACTTCCCGGCGATTGCATAGTCTTCATTTTTAGTACGGAGTATTTGGCTAGGAATTCAATCTCCACTCAATTTTCCAGGTGCGAATTAAATTTCTCAAAATTCATATATTTGTGATAGTTATGCACTATGCTATTCTCTCGCACAGTTCAATGTAAATAGAAGACTAATGCAAAAAAAAAAAAGTTTGATATTCTCTCCTCTACATAATGCTTTCTTTTTCTACCATTCGCACTCGATCATTACATTGATTGATGAAATCTGATTTATGAGCAGAGAGCCTACCTGTGCAGATTGTTTCTGAGAAGCTTACAAATGACAGAACAATCTCCATCTACTTCTGAGATGATCAATAATTGGTAATTAATAATAATGGATCACGCGGTTTAATCATAAGTGGCAGTCTTGCCTATATTGTATCACCTTCAAAATCCAAGATTCCTAGCTAACTTTAATGCGCTAAATACATATGAACTTTGTGAACATAGAAATTGCTAGTACCCTGTACTAAAATAGGCTCCTTTATTTTCACTATTCATATAGCTAGTTGCGGTGATCCTTCATGTTTCTTGATATGCAGTTGGCCATTAAAAGAGGCAACCTCTTTGGTTCTTTGATGTATATCGCCTACTGTCAAAAGATGGTTCATCCAGTAGGGAGCTGCTTTCAACCAACCTGTATAAAATTAGGAAATATGTAGCTTTTCAGTCATTGAGGATTTGAGGCCATATACTAATCAATCTTGATATTTGACATGTTGTGGAAGTTTTTCAGATTAATCTTTGGACCTCTTTATTCTATTGATGTGATATCACTTCCGCAATTTGGTGACTTTTGGGGTTTTTTTTTTTAAAGCGTAAATCATGACAGTGATTATTCCACATAAAATTATAGTTGATTTTATGAATCTATGAAGCTGAAATTTTCTAAAATTATTGATAAATTGAAAAAACACGCACCTGCTTTCAGTGTGTCTACTAATGCTTTCTTTGATGCTTATGCTGCTCAAGCTCCGTTTGATGCTTCTGCTGTACGAGTTCTGTTTGATATGTAGATAGATCATTTTCCACCAGTCCTTAGTTGCAGCAGGTTTGTCCGTTTCTTTAGATGGTGGATTTGGTGAAATTTTGGAGCAATTCTTTGTTTTTGATTTCGTCTTAGTGTATAGGGAGAGGGGGACAAACATCTTGAGTAAGAAAACTCCACTATCCATGCTTTCGCTTCGTGATATTTTAGCATGCTTGAAGGTTGTGCTCTTTCGTTTGATCTTCTTATCATTCGCCTTGCTGTAGCTCACACTTGTATCCTCTACTCCCACCTCTTGATGGCCCTCATCACCTGTTCCTTGCGGATTGTCAAGAACGATGTCTTTCAGTGACAGCTCAAGGGATGACTCGGGCAAGTTTTGAATCATCTCCATGAGCTTTCTCTGGCCATCCACTATCGCGTTAAGGCGTGATCTTGGAGATGGGTGGTAGTAAGCTTGATCTTTTGATGCCCTTTGTGTCCAAAGGGATGGAGAATGAAGTATGTAGTCACTCCGAGTCTGGAACTCTATTTCGCTGTTGGCACCTGAATGGTCAGACATCTCGGAATTCATCATCGTCTGTCTTGCTTCATCCCATTTGTCGCCGCGCATTCCATTCCTATTCTCAACTAACATGTTATTGAATTGCAGGAAAGGATTGGGAGGAGGAAGAATTTGCATTGTGGTTGTTTGTTTCAGATGTTGCATGGCTACAGTACAGGTAAGTAGCTGCTGATTATTGGTCCAATGTCTGTGGGGGGTTTGGTTCAGTGATATACATGTACTGAAATGACTTAGTCAATATAATGCCAATTTCCACATAGTATTAAGCACGGATGACTTTTTGTCTAGTCTTTGGCGTCTTTGAAGGGGAGCGGAGAGAACAAGACGCGTGCCAATCTTCTCTTTTACCATTTTTCTAACACCAGTGTCACTGAAAAACAAAGTTAAGTCAAAACACACTTTGTTGAAATTCATTGAATATCTCCTTATATTTTGAAAGCTCTGATGAACTTTTGCATACCCTTATTTATTTATGAGTTAATACCTCCAATGGTCCTCTGAGTATTAACGATTTACACGATGTGGTCATCCGAGTTTTAAATGACCTCCAATGGTCCTCCATGTTTTAAAAAATAACCACCCGTGGTTCTTTTAAGACGTCTCGTGGTCATTTTAAACTCATATTTTTTTAAGAATTAGGACCACGGGTGGTTATTTTTTAAAACATGGAGGACCATTGGAGGTCATTTAAAACTCGGATGACCACAGCTGGTAAATCGCTAATACTCAGAGGACCATTAAATGTATTAACTCTTTATTTATTTATGAGTTAATTCTATTTTGGTCTTAGATTTATAAGTCCTTTTTTTATCAGAGCAGTCATTTTTGGTCTTAGTATTATTGTAGTATAATTATTTTTTGTTCTTTATCAACAAAATAGTTTAGATATCGTTAAATAGAAAGACATTTCGGTCTTCAGTTATGAATTTTTCAAAAAAAAAAACATAAAAAATATAACGATTCAACTTACTTTGTATAAAAAAGATTGAAATGTCTTTGTATTTAATAACATTTGAACGATTTTAGCGATGGAGGACTAAAAATGATCATGTCACAATAATAATAATAATAGGACCAAATGATGACTGTCACCTATAAATTTAGGACAAAAAATGGAATAATTCTTTCTTTATTAATTTTTATGCTACTTTTAATTAATTTATTTATTTATAACAACTACACATATATACCTTCTAGAAGTGATCTAGTCAAAAGGGTTTCTGTACATCTACGTGCAGTTTGGTTGTTAACGGACGAAAATGTAAAATTTTCGTTGAGGATGATTTTGACATGGGGAGGATTAAAGAAATAGGTCATTGAACTATTTGGAAAATAGGCCATTGAACTTGAATAAGTTTTAAATCCATTCATGAATCCCAAAAAAAAAAAAAAAAAAAAAAAAAAAAGCAATTAGCATTTTAGCAGGTTAACAACATGTTTACGTTGATTTGGATGTCATGTGTGCATTTTATTATTATTATTATTATTATTATTATTATTATTATTATTATTATTATTATCTTAATAAGTATTTTATCATCTTCTTGAATGCCATGTTTTATATTTTATCTGACAGGATAATGGTAACCCGCAGCAGTCAAAGCAATAGTCATTTGGTAATGGTAAGTAGGAAGAGGTAACGGTTCTTAGGGTCCGGCTCATCAAAGAGCAGTTACAAACAGTACGCACAGCAATTACTGAGGAGCCTGACACTTATGGAGGGGAGCTGTTACACTTATTAGGAGGCCGTTGATAATTATTGTAACCGTTACAAATTTGTAGTATAAAGGCTAACCCCGTGTAACAAGAAAAGGGCGACACACTCTGAAACTTTGTACTAAGACTTTGAAAGTACAAAACTATCTACTTCTATAATTATACCGGTAGCTTTCCTACCGTCATTGGTGCTTTCATTGAGAACCTGAGATCAACTCTCAAGCAAGCTAATACACATATCTTTCTCTCTCATCAACAAGCTCGAATCAATGAGACGATCTAGATCAAGTGGCTCCCATGGTTCCCGTGGCTTAAACATCAATGCAATGGCAATGCTCACATGGATGCCCGATAAACAAACTCGAGCGACCTTCGGGGCCAGCTCAATAGCAACCGTGAGGGTGACCTCCGGGACCAGCTCAACAACAATCGTGATGGTGACCTCCGCGACTAGCTCAACAACAATCGTGGTGGAGCACAACTAGAACCCAGGGCACAGGTACCACCTATAGATCTCTAAGCGACGACCCAGATCATCTAGCAGGCAGCGGTGGCTCTAACCCAAATGGTGGCAGGGATTCAAGGTCAAGTGCCCCGAGCATCCGCGCAGGAGGAGGAATTAATATCGCCACGACGAGAGAGGACCCAACGTCGCGGTGCGACCCATCATAGCGACAATCGCCCTGAAACTCAACCTCGCTCTAAGAGAAGGGAGGTGAAAGGCCAAGGGGAAGGAGTTCAATTAGCGACTCTGTCTGACATCGTCCGACTGCTAGTTTCTATGCCCATCTTGGAACGATTGGGCGAGAGGGTGACTATCCGGCAAATGTTAGAGCCACAACAAATGACCAAGGGGTTATCTACAATGGGACCACACCAGGACAGAACCAGCACAGTGAGTGAGGGAGAGCGGTTGCCACAGTTAGAAAAGGTGGGAGAGTCTGGAGGGCAGGCTCCGCGTCGGTCCACTGTGCATAAGCGAACCCCAACCATGTAGGAGGAAGTGGTGGAGCGGTTGCAAAAGAAAATATAGGAGCTAGAGAGGAAAATGGAGGCGAGGGAGCAATCGCCTAAACCCGAGGTAAGGATGGCCGCACCATTTACCCCGAAGATAATGGACGCGCCCCTTCCTAAGGATTTCAAGCTTCCGGCTATCAAAGCTTACGCTGGGATCTCGAACCCACGTGCACACATGAAAAGATACAAGGCGGCTATGGTGATGATTGGGGCATATGGCACCATCATGTGCAGGGAATTCCTGTCTACCTTGGATGGGACGGCCCAGGATTGGTTCAATACGATCCCAGATGATTCAATCCAAAATTTTGCAGAACTATCCAAGAGTTTCCTGACGTACTTCTCTAGAAACATACAACGCAAGAAGTCGTTCGCTCACCTTTGCATAATAAAGCAAGACAAAGGGGAAAACCTTAGAGATTTCCTGAACAAGTGGAAGAAGGAGGTTAAAAACGTTTAAGATTTTGACTCCAAGGCGGCGATTTCGATATTTCCGAGCGTTAAGATCAAGAGATTTCCATAGGTAGTTGAACACCTATTAATCTCGCTCTTACGAAGATCTGATGAGGATGGCCACCGCTACGCAGAAGCAGAGGAAGCCGATAAGAAAAAAAGAGAAGAGGAGGAAGGCAAGACAGGAGGAAAGTCCGAGAAAATTGGTCCAACCAACAAGGTGTCAAGCCCAGCTCCATCGAAGAAGGGAAGTAAAGACTAATCCTCAGGAGGACCCCATTTGATCCCCTTGCATCATTTGACCCCACTGACCCACCCGGTCATCGTAATCCTAGACCAAGCCGAGCAGATAGGGATGGTGCAGTTCCCAAAGGAGTGCATGAAAGTTTCTTCTAAGGTAAACCAGACAAAATATTGCCAGTTCCACCGGTAAGTTGGCCACGACACTAACGAGTGTCACGTTCTGAAAAGACAAATAGATGAACTCATTTAGAGGGGATACTTCACTCAGTTTTTGAAGCATCCAGGGCAACAACAACAACATCAGCAACAAGGCTAACCCAAAAATGTGTGGCGAAAGGGAGGGGAGCCCGAGCCATCCTCCTCAAACACAAAAAAGAGGAGGCACGGTCAGATCATGGAAGAAGGAGACAATGAGTTAGAGGAGGAACCCGCACAACGCAAAATACATGTTATTCGCTAAAACACACAAGATCAACAATATCATTATTGATGTAACTATTGTTCATGGTCTGCCCTGATCAATTTTGTTAAATAAAAATATAATAATAAAAGAAAATTACACTTGTCCATGGAGCCCTTTGTGTCAGCAAAGTAGGATGTCTGTCCTCATCCAACATGTCCGAAGCCAGAAATAAAAAAGGGCAGCCAAGGCTGTGTGCTTGTACTCATTTGAATGAGGCATATCCTAGTTCAAAACCAAAACCGAAAAAAAAAAAAAAAAAAAAAAAAAAAAAAAAAAACCTCGCACACTCTATTCCTTAAAGACCAGCACAAGATCCGATCATGCTAGCTACTCGATGGAAGGGTGTTTTCTTGGTCAAGCTCAAAGGCCTGATTACGAAAAACGTTATCCCCTAAGGACTGGTACGGGGTCTGACCTCGCTCACTATCTTATGGAAGAGCCGACATTTGGTTGAGCCCATGACCGGCCAAAGCAAGCTATGAACACAATTTAAAAAAAAAAAACAACAAAAAACAAAAATCAAAAAAACAAAAAACAAATCTAAAACAAAATCCAGAAAAAAAAAAAAAGCCCAAAAAAAAAACGAAAACAGAAACAATAAAAAAAAAAAGCCAAAAAAAATAAATAAATAAATAAAAAGAAAAAGGGTGCCATAGAAGCCGAGGCAGCCCTCAAATCTATACGCTCGTAGTTTGCGGACAGAGAGGCTGATTACGAGGTATTCAATGAATATTCACTATTATTACTTCGTAGCTGACTCCGCAACGCTCTTAGCTCGGAAGTAAGGGGTTGGTGACAGGATAATTGTAACCCGCAACAGTCAAAGCAATAGTCACTTGGTAATGGTAAGTAGGAAGAGGTAACTGTTCTTAGAGTCCCCCTCATCAAAAAGCAGTTACAAGTCGTGCACACAGCAATTACTTGGGAGTCTGACACTTATGGAGGGAAGACGTTGCACTTATTAGGAGCCGAGGCCGCTGGTAATTATTGTAACCGTTACAAATTTGTAGTATAAAGACTGACCTCATCATCATCGTCATCGTCATCGTCATCATCATCATCACCATCACACACACACACAAATGTCATAATTATATATGTATACAATATAGCAAATCAAATTCAATTCTACATATATGTTTGTAATTACTAGAGAAAATTCAATTCAATTATGTTTGCTATATCATCTTATATACGTACATATATAATACGTAGGATGTATGTATACATAATATATATATATATATATATATATATATATATATATATATATATATATATATGTATATATAAAACATGACATCCGGAAAGGATCAAATGCTTAATAAAATAATAATAAT